TTTTATGATATCGTCAAACATATATTTTATTCAAAAATAAAAATATCATCGCTTTCTCAAAATCACATAAAGTCATATTATAACATCGACTGAGATAAATAATAAAATGAAATATTAAAAACACGATGTATCTCGCTGCATTGCGCGAGTACGCTTCTAGTATATATATATATATGCATCAAAAAATGAAAAATTTTTCTATTAACTTTTCAACTTAACTCTCCTTGTGATCGAAACCCAACCCCCGAGAATTTGAATAGGATGGGACCGGTTTAATATCGGTCCAATAACAAATGTGGATCAGTTTATAAGACGAACACGCGTACCTAAATTTTGATCCGTGTCGGTTGTGTGTACACATTCATGAGACCTAAGCAAGAACCCATTTCCACAGCAGATCCTGGTGCCCAAATACGCCATTGTCGTTCATAATCATCACTTTAATCCGTTTACACCTACCAGCTCCACTAATTTATCTCATCGTTTCTTCCCCAAATCCTCACTCGCAAGAAGCTTTCGACTTTCACCAGGTACTATTGATCTATCTATATATCAATACTTTAGGTAGAGATCTTTAATCGATAATTAACTTTATTTCTTTGATCATCCTCATTGAGTTCATGCGGCAGCTGACTAGTTGTAATATAATTGTAATATGGGTATGATTGTGTTTTTTCTAAGTTCCGTTACTAGTATTTATGATGGTAGGCTTTTCGTATTTTTGATTGATTAGATGGTTATTTCACCCTCCAATAAATCAATCTACTGTTCTTCGGTCTTCTCTTGAATATGTTTAATTTTGTAGTTCAAATAACTTGGAAACGTAGCTGGGCTTACTTTAGCTGGGCTTACCTTTTCAGTTTCGGATTATAAATTAATCAACTGTTCATCGGTTCTCTCTTGATTTGTTAAAGTGTATAGTTGGAAGAACTTGGGAACATACCTGGCTTTACTTTTAAAAATTTCAGATGTTATTTCTTGAGAAATTCGTATCTTGTTTGTTGATGAATTTGAGTTCAGTGGGCCAGACAGACTATAGGAATTCCTGGTTTATGATTTATGGTTCTTAAGGAGGTGGATTGTCTTAATCTTCGAACCTCGAGGGAAGCCAAATTGGTTTTTCGTCACCTCCATCTAACCTCTTTGTTATAAAGAGGGACCACCAGACTAAGTCTCCACTCCCAGCATCTTGGCAATTCTGAGTATGACTTGGAAGAGCTTTGTTAACCACCGTGCCCCCGCCACACCTCAACGGGGGTATAGTCTGGGCCTATGACCTTACCCTTCCCCATCTTCCTTAGTTGCCCCCTTCACTTCCCCTATTCTAAGAGCTTGTTCAACAACTATGCTATTTTAGAAGTTCTGGAGATATGGGAAAAGTTTGCTCCGGTAGCTATGCTAAACTCTCGTCTAAAATGGAGAAAAGAAGAAGAGAGAATGGAGAAATCTCCAAATTTGGAGAAAGAAAAAGGAAATATAGCATGCCTGTTGGAGATGCTCTAACTCACCAATAGACAAAGATTGCATGACCTTTGGTGTCTTCCGGCTACCTTTCCTTTCTCCTCTTAATATCCTCGTCCTTTACTAAGACGAATGTTCTAAAAATCGCGTTATGGTGCCGAGGCGCTACCTTGCCACCACCTTAACCCCCTTGGCGTGGATAAAAGGCTTTGGGAAAATTTACAATTTTTGTAACTTGAATAGGAGTAAATGTAAATACAACTGTATAGTTTATATGAGCCAAATACTTGATCAACAAAAAGGGGAAAAAGAAAAAACCCCTAAATTACTTCTTCAACGTAAGACAAATATTGTTCGATTACTTTGATCTGCTGTTCTTTGATTTCCTTACTTTGATTTTGTTGTTTGATTACCAAACAGGGACTGTAAAGAGTGACTTACTTTGTATATTTGATATCATTTTTGTAAACTGTATATTTGATATCAAATTATCAATTCATGGTTCTTCTTTTGTTTATCGTTTTATATGAATTTAAATTGTTAATTATCATTATTGTTCAAGACATTGACATAAACACACATACACACACACACACACACACACATATATATATATATATATAGGGTTGGGTTCCGGTGAGTTAAGATGAGAAGTGTAAGAAGCGATCTCTACCCTTGGATGCACATTAGGAAGAGATGCTCCGAGATGCATCGGATCAACGGGATTCATGAGTGGGTTTGAGATTAAAGGTGATCAAGGGTCCAGATCTGTTCTCACGCTTCTCACCTTAACTCTCTTTCTCACACGAATCTTCGCCTATATATATTTTATATACAAATTTGCCGCCTTAAGCCACGCCTTGGAAAACACCGTGGCCTTGCTGTAACTCGTAAGGCTTGTGGCTTGACCTCGCCGCCACGCCACGCCATGCCATGCCTCATGCCATTTAGAACCTTGACTAAGACCCACTTATTTTCTCCTTAGTACCATTATGTTTCCTAAGTCCTATCGCCTCTGATCCCCGACTGGTCACCACTTTATCAACAACAAAACATTGCTAGCAAAAAACATAAACCATGGGTTGTCATCTTGTGTGTCGATTATGAGCTTATCCATAAAAATAGGGGAAAAAAGGAGCCAACCTTAGTAATATGGATAACACATCTCCCTTTGCCACCTGCTTTCATGCCCGTCGCTTCCATCATACATGTTATTCTTTATCACTTCAAAATACTTGCGTACGGTTTCCTTCTTTTCAAGATCACCTGCTCACTTTCTTGGCTTCCTATCGCATTCCTCCTTTGTATCTATAGATACCATATGAAATACTTTTATGTCCCTTATTTTTTTTTCTATGCATGTAGTCAACATTCTATGAACACCAACATACTTTTACCTGTTCATAGTATGCTCAATAACTCACTCTTATAGCTCCAGTTTATCGTTCATAAGTTTGATCTCTCTCCGATTCAAACAATTAGAGTATCTCTAGTATTCTCATCGAGTGATGCAATTGAACTCATCCTCCCCAATTCATGTGCCTTTCTCTATGCCTTAGCTATCTTCCCTAGGGCTCTTCAGATCTCCCGGATTTACCTACTTTCATCTTTCTTAGTGTATATCACCTCGAACAGTGTGATTCTATGTACAAAACTTCTGCTAATATGATCAAAAGAATCACGTTAGGGTACACTTCCATCTTTATTTTTATAAAAAACTTATCTAAATAACCTCACAATTGTTCTTTAACCTCGTCACTTTTAGTTTTTGGCTCTTATAGTTTCCTTTCCCATATGTTATCTAGCTTGCATATATCATATTCTTCTTCTGTTGTTCCTAGTTCAATTTAATAGGATTGAGACACGACACCACCCTTTAAGACTTGCTCTACAAGGAAAAAAAACATTTGATAAGCATGGAAGAAGTCTACCTTAAATCTATGGATACCTACAATTGTCCTTGTCTATCTACACTTATCTACTTCCCTTATTTGTTTTGCTTTAGGATTCTGTTTTTGTTTTACTCTAGGAGTCTCTTATTTCTTAGTTTAAATACCCTCGTTTTCTTTTTCCTATATGTGAAAATCTACTTTGAGTTATTGTTTCGGAATCTTGTCCTCTCCATACGGACTACCCTTTACCTGTTTTTTTCTTTCTAGTTATCCAATGTACTTGTTAAAATACCTTCGTCGCTCCTAACAGATTGTGCTTATTACTAGTCGGATATAACCTAGGATCTAGTTCTCTTTACCTTTATATACATGAAATATGAAGGATGCAAAGAAATAGAAATTGTAGGAGCATAAACGACTTGTTAAAAGACGGATGATGAAAAAGTGTGTAGATGACTTCTGTTATTATCAAGTGAATTGCAATGCTTCAAATTTTGTAACCATAGTATTGTATACTTCGTAATTCCTACATATATAAAAGGTTATTTGGCAATATATGTTTTGGTGATTGAGTTTCTGGGTCTATTTATTCGGAGATTTAACCGTCAAAATGTTCAATTTAATTACTGGTTAAATATTTAATTCCTAATTAGGTGATTGTCTTTCGGCTCTATTAAAAAATTTGACACAAATCTGAAGTTTGGTGGCTACCATGTCAAGTTGTGTAACAGTCATAAAACGATCACCTGATTGAGGATTAAAGTTGTAATCACCAACTTCATTAATAATTTTGGAAGTTGAATCACCAAACTGATAGCGCTCCCGAAAGTTCAATCACCAGTCAAATCTTTTTTCCAAATTTGGAATTCGAAAAGTAATTGCAAAATAAGCTGAGTCGAGAGGGCTAAACAGAGTTATTGGTAAATCTTGTTTGTTTGAAATCTACAGATACCTTCAAAAGCTTATGATCTACCAAAAGCTAATGGAGCAACCACATACGTTAATGAGAAAAACAAATGGTCCAATTGCTATACTCTGGGATATGGAGAACTGTCCAGTACCCAGCGACATACGCCCAGAAGATGTGGCTGGAAATATTAGAATGGCTTTGCGGGTTCACCCCGTACTCGAGGGAGCCGTTAATATGTTCTCTGCATATGGAGATTTTAACGGCTTTCCTCGGCGGCTAAGAGAAGGCTGCCAAAGGACTGGGGTCAAACTCATAGATGTACCAAATGGGCGAAAAGATGCTGCTGATAAAGCAATATTGGTCGATATGTTTCTCTTTGCTCTTGATAATCCTCCACCATCTTCCATCATGCTGATTTCCGGCGATGTTGACTTTTCTTCGGCGCTTCATGTACTTGGTCAACGTGGATACACTGTTATTCTCGTGATTCCATCTGGGGTTGGTGTTTCTTCTGCTTTGAGTAATGCTGGAAGTTATGTTTGGGACTGGCCTAGTGTGGTTCGTGGAGAAGGCTTTGTGCCACCTTCAAGATCTCGTGCTATCGCTTCATCTGATGTTGCTGGGCTTTTGATGGGACCCCAGATCGGTGACAATTCAGATTCTAAAAATGAAGAAGAAGCAATTGTATATAGAGGTATCTCAATGGTATCTGAATTCAACACTTCATTGGTTTCAACATCGAAATCATACAGCCTTCCATCTGATTTAAATGATGTGATGTGGGTTCAGCCCGGAGATTTGATTGGTTTAAAGGGTCAACTAGTGAAGCTTCTGGAACTATCCGGTGGGAGTTTACCACTTGGGCGTCTTCCTGCTGAGTACCAGAAGTTTTTTGGAAGACCCCTTTACGTTTCAGAGTATGGAACTTTGAAACTAGTGAATCTATTGAAAAAGATGAGCGATGCGATATCTATTGAAGGCAAAGGCCAGAAGAAACTGGTGTATCTCAAGAAATGCATGATGGAGGACACCATAAAGCATGAGAGGAAAGGGAAAGCCACCCGAGAAGAGAATATGGGTGTTGGTTCTTCAGACGAGTTCTCAGATGATGAAAGAGTAGTTGTTGAAGAGCGAGATGATAGGAGCAATGAAAACCTCATCCAGTTCAGGTATGAGCTGCAGGAGCTACTTGTGAGCTATTCTTGTCGGATTTTCTTGGGTTGTTTCGAGGCAATTTATCAACAACGCTATAAAAGACCACTAAATTATCAAAGATTCGGTGTTGATAAGCTTGAGGAGCTGTTTGAAATGGTGAATGAGGTCGTAATATTGCATGAGGAACCGCTTAGTAAGATGAAGTTTCTGGTGGCTGCTGGTCTCTAAATACGGTTGCCAAATGATTAGCCATGACTCCCATGAGCCTGAGGTATGCTTATATATATATATATTCTTAGGTAGGGAAAAGTTCAACCGAGAACCATTAATATTTTGATAACCTGGGTATTATTCATTATGAATAATCATGCATTATCATAATTCATCATGGATATCTATTACGTCATTCATTATGAATAAAACATGAATAGTTGGTTCCTAGGCTATTAGAATATTTACGGGTTTTCATTTGAACACGCCCTTCTCATTTAAATATCTTTTTGTTGTGACTTGCTCTTTAGCTAACTTGGTTGTATTTGTATCAGCCTGATTTCAGTTGTTTTGTCTTTGTGTTAGCCAATGAACCATCATCGTGGATGCCATCAAGGTATCAAAGTTGCATGCATGTACAGTTATTCGAATCAAAATCAAAATCGCTAGCTTCTAACCTTTCAACAAGACTCGAAAGTACAACTTTTCAGTCACTGTTTTGTGTCTCGATGGTTGGCTTGGAAAAGGCAGACCATGTGGTGTTTTCCCATGAGAACGTCCGTAGTGCATGTTTGGTTCATGGGATTTGTGGACCAGTTTTGTAACCCTCTTGGCTGGTGTTGATTGTTGAAATGGTTATGGGTTTGAAGTAGAATTATGGGCCTGCAGATGCTGCTGTGTTTGAGGTCAATGTTTGTTACTACCACATGTTGTTTTAGTATATATGTGGTTGTAAACCTTATATGCATATATATGTTCACCTTGCTTCATAACTTGGGTTTTCAAGTTATTCTATTTCTATTTTGATCTTAAATCAAATTGAAATCTAGTTTGAGCACACAAAAATGAGATCCACAATGAACAGAAAAACACATCAATTATAGCCAAGGACACGGTGACCTGAGCCAATTGGCCAAACTTTAGAAGCATGGCTTAAGCTGTTGGGTTGGGACCAAGTCATGGTTGGGAGTTGGGGGCTGTTTACCCCAACGCTTACCTGGTAAGAGTCTAGCACTCTCACTTATCTTAATAGTCCATGAAGACGGCATCGTATGCAACAATTTACTCGGTAAACGTTAACTGGGTAAGAGTTGTCACCCTCACTTATCGAGTAAGACTTTCGGTCCTTACCATCGCTCTTACCTGGTAAAATTCTCGGTTCTGCAATGTTTATCCAACAAGGTAAGTGACTAAGGTAAGTAGTTACTCGGGTAGGCGTTTGGTAAATGACCTCTTTTAGGATAAGATCAAGAGGCATTACCTCTTCTTCTTTTACGGCTCTATTTGACATAATAAATCATCAACTAGCTCGTAGAAACTTATCGCCCTCATTTACCTTATATTGGGTAACATTCTCGGTCTCTCAGCTATCAAAATGGATTTTTGGTAAGTTTTTATTTACTTGGTAAACGCTAACCAGATAAGAATATCGGTTTTTGTTATGCCTTTTATCAGGTAAGATTTTCGGTTATTATCATACTCATTTGGTAAGGTAAGTGATACCTAATAAGTCTTTGGTAAACTATCCCTGAATGGCAATACAAAATTATTTCAAAAGAAAATATAACAAATATTTATATAAAATATAAGAGGCATAATTACCTTTTAATTTGATGATACATTCTTCCTCTTTCTCAATTAACAAGTTAAATTTCTCCAATCTCCTCTTAACAGAAAAAACAAAATTAAAAATCCCAATTCCTCATAAGCACAAAGGTTAAAACAGTTAAGGGGCCGTTTACCAAAAACTTATTCGATAAGTGCTTAACGATAACATTCAACATTATTAATTACTTACAAGATACGATTTTAGTCCATCAAAGCGGCACCGCGTATAATAATTTACCCGAAAAGCTCTTACTGTGATAGGACCGGATAAGACTCTTGTTCTATCTCCCGCTCTTACCATGTAAGATTTTTTGTTCTTGTTATATTCATCCGATAAGGAAATGTGACTTGATAAGTGCTTACCCAGGTAAGTGTTTGGTAAACGACCCCTAATACAATATGATGTTCTATATAAAAGAGAATCTGTATGCATAAAAGAAAATTCAAACAAAGAAGTATGATAAGAATCCGATATAATTAATTCAAAATTGAAATCCATCGGTACTCAACATGATCAGTAAAAATCTTGTAGGAGTAGCTCATTTGACAATAAGACTTGGGTTTTCAGGGATCCTCCTAAGAGGTTATCGGTTGGAAACCTGCAAAGCCATGGGGGATTTTCCTGGCTGTTCTCCGGGGTCCTTAAGATTATTCAAGGTACACACAAGTTGGTCCGGACACTTGTAGTTAAAAAAGATGGGTAAACTAATGATTGATGAATGTGTTCGATTTCATTGTTTTTAAGTAAACGGTGACATGTTGATTTTGCAAAGGTAACATGCTATGTAGGGGTGAACAAAAAACTGTCAACCTGCGAAACCCGCCCAACCCAACCCGCTAAGGCACTAACAACTCAATTAAACCCAACCCGTCAAACCGCTAATTAGGAGGGTTGAAATTGGGTTACATAACTTAACCCAACCCAAACCGCCAACCCGCCGCTAATGTATATTTTTTTAATAAAATTATGTGTGTCTGTCTATATATATATATATATATATATATATATATNTGTGTGTGTGTGTGTGTGTGTGTGTGTGTGTGTGTGTGTGTGTGATATTTACAAAAATTAAAGAGGTGTTTGGGAATTTGGTCTTAAGCCCTTAACCTCTTATGTGTTAACCCATCAGAAATAGAAATTAGAAACACTAACCGGCTAACCCTACGTCCCTGCTTCAAGTTACGTCTTTTTGAGTTTCTTCTCCATCACAAATTCACAATTCACAATTTCAATTTTCAAAGATTCCTTCATTCCACAACAAACCCTCCGTCGGTCCGTCCCTTACGGTCTTAGCCAGTTAGCCTGACCGTCAACCCTCCGTTCTTGACGTGCCGAGTCTGCCATCTGCCGATGCCTCSTTCTTGAATACTCGCAGCGTCCAGCAGCTGGAAAGACGTAACTAAAAATTGACCAGATGGAAATGGGAAGTCTGATGCTCGTATCAAACTTTTGAAAATTGATTTTAAGACTTGAGGATTTAGTCTTTAGATATATTTTTGGATGATTGTAATAACTAATGACTTTGTTGGGTATATTTTTAGTATTATTTATCATATTTCATTTGTCAATTTTATGAGTTTTAGTAATCCGCCAACCCAACCAACCTAACCCGCAAGGATTGGATTGGGTTGGGTTATACTTTTTGGATGATTGTAATAACTAATGACAGTGGTATCACAATGCATCTTATATGTGATTGGGTATCACACTGTGGTCGTTTGTGCGGTCGATCGGATATGTAACACAGTKGTATCACAATGCATCTTATATGTGCTTGAGTATCACACTGTGGTATCATCGGAGGACGGTGGCCGGAGAGAGAAGGGAGAAGATAAAATACCTAAAATGTTCTTGCATTAAAATTTTAATTAAAATTACCAAAGTTAAAAATTTCCTAATTTATCTATTGATTTGTGGTTGAGATTGGATCTTACGGTTACCACAAACTAACCAGTTCTCCCTTGAATGGGCCCAATATATATATATATATATATATATATATATATATATAGAGGAGCGATCAAATAAAAACCACTTCAATTTGTAAAAACCGTAAAAACTACTCTCATCCGTCGTTAATCTTATGAACTTTTTTCATGAAATTGTTAAGCTTGTGAAATTATTTCATATAATACTTTTTTTGATGAAGTTGTTTCATATGTGGTTATGAAATTGTTTCATATACTGCTTAATGAAATTTTAATGAAACTGTTTCATGTATTTCTCTAAAATTAAAATAATGAAGATGATAATATCCACGATTAACACCTTCCACAATAAAAATGGTTAATCAACCTCTCATAATTACAAAAAAATGAACAAAATGAAAAATTTATGATTGGTTGAGTGAGGTTTTCACGGTTTTTACAAAATGAGTGGTTTTTATTTGAACCAACCCCTATATATATATATATATATATATGATATTTACAAAAATTAAAGAGGTGTTTGGGAATTTGGTCTTAAGCCCTTAGCCCAATAACCCTTAAGCCCTTAACCTCTTATGTGTTAACCTAACAGAAATAGAAATTAGAAACACTAACCGGCTAACCCTACGTCCCTGCTTCAAGTTAAGTCTTTCTGAGTTTCTTCTCCATCACAAATTCACAATTCACAAATTCAATTTTCAAAGATTCCTTCATTCCACAACAAACCCTCCGTCGGTCCATCCCTCACGGCCTTAGCCAGTTAGCCTGACCGTCAACCCTCCGTCCTTGACGTGCCGAGTCTGCCATCTGCCGATGCCTCCTTCTTGAATACTCGCAGCGTCCAGCAGCTGGAAAGACGTAACTAGAAATCGACCAGATGGAAATGGGAAGTCTGTTGCTCGTATCAAACTTTTGAAAATTGATTTCGAGACTTGAGGATTTAGTCTTTAGATATATTTTTGGATAATTGTAATAACCAATGACTTTGTTGAGTATATTTTTAGTATTATTTATCATATTTCATTTGTCAATTTTATGAGTTTTAGTAACCCACCAACCCAACCAACCTAACCCGCAAGGATTGTGTTGGGTTATACTTTTGAATGAGTTGGGTTGGGTTAAGATTTCCTAAACCGTCATAATTGAGTTGGATTGTAAAAATGTCATAAACCGTCCAACCCAACCCATGTTCACTCCTAATGCTATATACGTGTTTAATGGTAACACGTTAGATTTTGCAATATTCAAGTTTTTCCATTTTTTTAAAATTAAAATGGTAAGATGTTGATTTTGTAATATTTAATGATGTGCGTGTGCCTGTCAAGGTTATAATTAACTTTGACTTAACCCTCTCATAAATGAACATTTACGTTATCAAATGTTATAAAATCAGTATGTTATCTGTGAGAATGAATATAAAATAGAATTTATTTAAATTTGTTATATTAAGTGAAAAATAATATACTTTGATTTTTTATACAGTTTAAAATAAAAACAAAAATAATGCAGCTGATTTTATTTTATTGTTCTTTCAGATATAATGGTTACAAACCTTTTAACTCCAATAGAATGTACACCGGAGGAGGTTGTTAGGCGGGACGCGGGCCCCCGAACCTGAACCGGCATTCAAACAAACCCAATACACTCTATATCTCTCTACATTCTCCTTGATTTCTTCTCCGAAAACCGTTAATGGAGGTAAACAACTCTCTCGCTCCATCACGTTTCTTCATTTTCATCAACAACGAACTGAAACATGCACTTGAATGTTTGCAGAGGATCAGATTCTCGTCGGATGTGCTCTTTGCAACTTTTTTCGCCGCAACATTTCTGTTCACCTGGTCTTCAGCACTCAAGGTTAATTTGCAAATTGATGATCGATGAACGAGTTCGATTTCATTGTTTTTGAGTTCTGAGATCTGTTTATGGCTTATTTAATCGGATTATTGATTATTTGAAACTAACAGGGAGGAAATACTTGCGTAAACGACAAGAGCTGTGATTATGGATCACAATGTGGAACTTGCACTGTAAATGTCAGTGTTTCTTCCCGTTGTATTCGCGTTCAGCCTCACAATCCTATTCGTAAGGTATATTGTGTTATGTTATATGTGCTTATGTGTGAAAATGAAGGTATAGAAATATTTTTGGATGTCTGTGTCGATCTGATTGAGAGTCATTCTAGGTGAAAGGCTTGCCGTTCAATCGTTACTCGTGGTTAACAACTCACAATGCTTTCGCTAGAATGGGACATAAGTCAGATACAGGCTCTGTTCTTCTAGCTCCGGTGAACCAGCAGGATAGTGTTACTTCTCAGCTCAACGTATGCTTCTCGTCTCTCTCTCTCTCTGAACTATCCAGAAAGTTAGATTTCAAGTCGCGGCGTTTAACTGATGTGACTTATTTACTTGCTTTTTCACTACACACGATTTATTACCGTTCTCAGCGAACAAATGTCCTTCGATCTGAAACTTCGCACTCCTTGTGTAAATAAGCTATAGCTTTTAAAATGCAAATACGGCATATTGTGCTTACAAATTGGCATGGCTGTGTGAAAAATTCCAGCAGCAACTATAAAAAAAAAAAAAAAAACCTGGCATGAACTTCTAATGGAATCTATGTCGATTTAAAATTCAAAATTGGCTTGACGTCAAAAGCAATGGATCTCTTTTTCCGGCCAACTTTACAGAGGCTTGGACTATTTGTAGTACAGAAATATACATTTAGAAAATATCCTTTTACAAGGGAGAGAATCTAAGAACCAAAATGACATTGTACATATTTAAGTTGTGAACGGCTTTAGAACAACATATAGTTAACAACCATGTTGGACTACAATGGAAAGTGGAAATGTTGCCTTCTATGGCACGGAGAAAACCGTAAAGGTGGCAGCCTCTCATGCCGACCTAAATTTGTTGCTTGTATGTAGACTTAACAAATGTCAAAAACTACTATTTATTTATATGGCATATGTATACAGTATACACCAATTAAGACTTGAAACCACAACCTCATGTTTGGTGAGATTGAAATGATATATTAAATGTCCATTGGGGGAAAGGTTCTTCTAGGATAGCTTTGATACATAAAATTCTTACTAAAATTGTCTTTCTTATACTATTTAATTAATTAAAAGGAAGATTCACAAGCCCCCAAAATGCTCTCAACTTTTTCTAATAACCATAGTATCTAACATATTTAACCAAACTAGTCCATGCAAAGCGCCTGTCCACATGGATCAGACAAACTTTAGGTTTTTTCCGGCCAATAGCTGTGGCCCCTTAGGAGCTGTAAACACTTGTGGGATTTATAGTAATACCTTATAAACCAAAGTTTCAGGCCTTGCCTATTAGGGCCAAACTTGTGGTTAAAATGCTCAACTTGGTAGGAAAGAGTTTGCTGGATCCAGAAATTAGTTTTGTGTTTGTTAGATTAATCATGTTATGAGAACTAATGAAAATTCTGCAACAGCCCGTTAAAAGCATACTACTATTGGAAACTTATTCCTTAAAAATGATTATGCTATTGCTATACACTCCAAGTAGTGAGTGTATGGAAAACCCTTTAAGGAACTTGTTAGCTGTGTTTTGTTATTGCAGTGCGGCTCATCAGGTCATAGAATCAGCCAAGGGTTGCTAAAAGCAAATTTGCACCAACTGTTTGGCAGTCTAACTTCTAAAAGGAGACAAAATATTTAAACCAAGGCTATCTGCAAGTCTCCAGTAATTATTGGTTTAGATCATTTTAGAAATTTCTTAACAATTACATCACTTTCCTGATCCGTGTGGTTGAATGAACTCTAAGCCAATGCACACTGAATACTTCAACTTACATTAAAGTTTCATTTGTCAAAAAGATAACCCATACACGGCAGAGACTCTGTTTTACACCTACCGCTGTGAAGCTAATCATTTTATCTTCATATACTTACCCTTGGAAAACTATACCAGTTGGATTTCTTTATAACCTTTGTAATTTATTATAGATTGTTAAGGTTTAGACCTTAAAACAATCTTGCCTACTGTTTGTGCAGAATGGTGTGAGAGGCCTGATGCTCGATATGTATGACTTTGAGAATGATATTTGGTTATGTCACTCCTTCCATGGAAAGTGCTTCAACTACACAGCATTTGTAAGTCACTGAGCCATTTCAGATTCTTTGAACTGCTTATTTGATTTTTCATCATGATTTGGTTAGCATAACTTGAAACCTACCTAGTGTAATGTCATGCCAGAATATATATATATGTATGTCAATGTCATGCGGCTAAAGGACCCAGAATTTAGAGTGTGGGCTAATACTTCATAGATGTAACTAAATGACATTCATTTTTGTTCATTGATTCAATTTCACAGATCATTTAGGACTTGCAACTCAACATTATCTTTTGCTAAATACCATAAACATAATTAATGAAGAAGTTGGCTGTGATCTTGACCGAGTACACTCTGGCCAACGTAGGTTTACTTCTAATGACCACTTTCAAACTATGGGCTGCCATTAAATCTGGAAACTTGGCAGTGAATTTCTGCTATACTAATCTCATTGTCCATATCTGTGTTATGTGGTTTTTATAACTACTGACAGCAAGGGGTGTTTTATATTATTGGTTGAGCTGAGTTTTGAATTTATTATTTTAATGTCACCAGCAACCTGCTATCAATGTTCTGAAAGAGGTTGAAGTCTTTCTTGAAGCAAATCCTACAGAAATCATCACCATAATCATTGAAGACTATGTTACCACTCTAAGTGGTCTAACCAAGATTTTTAAAGCTGCTGGCCTTGGCAAGTTCTGGTTTCCAGTAGCTCGAATGCCAAGTAACGGTAGTAATTGGCCCACTCTTGACTCCATGATCCAGCAGAATCAGCGATTGGTAGTATTCACCTCTAAATCTTCTAAAGAGGCTTCTGAGGGTATTGCGTATACATGGAGATACTTGGTTGAGAATCAATGTGAGTTTTATAAAACTTTAATTTGATTGTATAAATATAAATTTTTTCTTAATGGACTTTGAAAACTGCAGATGGATCTGATGGGATGCGAAGTGGTTCTTGCCCCAACCGTGCTGAGTCTGCTGCTATGAACACTAAATCAAGATCTCTGGTTTTGATGAACCACTTTCCAGACACCCCAGATTATGTTGACGTTTGCAGGCACAATTCAGCCCCATTAATAAGCATGATGAACACTTGCCATGATGCTGCTGGTAAACGATGGCCTAATTTCATTGCTGTCGACTTTTACAAGGTATTTTTCAGTAATTCTAAACTAATCTTTACCGCAATCAAATCTTTAGACTGCCGAATTTAATTGAATATAGAAGAAACTAAACTCACACATGCTCTGAAACTTTTCAGAGGAGTGACGGTGGAGGCGCACCGGCTGCTGTAGATTTGGCTAATGGGGAACTAGTCTGTGGATGTAACAACATTGACTTGTGCAAGGTATGCAACATGAATCCGTACCCTCTCTCTTATACTGCTTTCAAGTACCTACATTTTTGCAGGATAGGAAGAGAACATGTGATAGTATGGAATGTTTTAACAACTAATTTATTATATCATACAGCCAAAGATGACCTTTGGAGACTGTAACCAACCAGAGGCCAGTCCTGCTCCAGCCCCGGATACAATAGCATCTGATTCAGCATCGACATCAGCATCAGCATCAACATCAACATCAACCTCAACCTCAACCTCAACATCATCATCATCATCAGCAGCATCAGCAACCACATCAACAAGAGGAAGAGGACGAGGAAGAGGAGGAGGATATAAGAAAAGCTTTTCCGATTCGGATGGTCAACAGATTCAATTTGGATGGATGCTGGGGACAGGTTTGATAGCTATCATATCTTTTCTTTGTTAATAAGGCACATATTAGATATATTCAAATTACTACCAATTAACCCTTAATTAGTTTCATCATATCTCATAAATAATAGGAGGGTATAATTGGTAATCACAGAATGTTGTAGTAAACTCAGTCTAAAACCACAAGAAGATTACATCACATGTTAAGTAGCTGCTAATCTCATATATGGTGATACTTGAGGAGGTAGGGATATGAATTCTTGTTTAAGGTTCCACTGCAACTCTTTAGATGCTTTTACCTATTATTGGTTTTGTTTTAAACTTTATATAATACGTAACAAATATATACATACACAGATAAAAACACTAACGAGAAAATGTCTTGGGAAAAATAGATATATTGATCATTGAATTTCATATTTTTAACAAAAGAAAGGAATGAAAACTAATAACTCACAAGTCACAAGTGAACGTAGAATATGTAGTTACTACGACTCCACAACTGATTTTTATTTTTAATATCCAAATAAAAAGTTCTAATGTAACAATCTTATGATGATTGTTTTAATTCTCTTTGAAAATGAATGAAAATATCTTAAAAGGAGAGCTGTGTGAAGTCATGTGAAACCTATTGTTGGGTTGCAACTTGTCATTGGCAGAAAAATATGCTATTCATCAAAGGGCTTCAAATTTCAATAAGCGTATGAAGACTTTTGTGTATTATTTAATACGTTACAGCTAATTTTACAATCAGTTAATGATGAAAATGCCTATTAACAGATGAGAAACCTCCAATGTACATATTCAATACGCATTGAATTGGTAGGGAATGAGAGATCCTAAAGTTAAACACAATCACATTCGTTATTAGAAATTGAATTAAATGACTAGGCATGGTCAAGAAAAGGAACTTACCTAGTAATCAAAAGTCAAAACACTAATAGCCTTCATGACAGAAGCTAGAGATAGAGTTGCAACAATTATGTTAAAATGTGTCCACATCTAATTTTTAATACATACAAGTGAATCTTATTTGGTCAATTGAGTTTTAAAATTTGCAGAAAGAAAAAGATAGCCAAGTTTAATTGAATACATTAGAATTCAAGTCAATTCAAAAAGAAGAATAGACCGTTATATATATATATATATATATTTCAATGGCTAGGAGTTGATAGAACAAAGAAATCATATGTATTTGCTGTCATTGATAGTGGAAAGTGGTAGAGGCTTATTGTTTAAGACGGTTGTTTCTTTCTCCGGCGTTACAATTTATAATACTCATATTCATGCTTTAAATTATATTATTTTATTACATAACAATCTAATCACAATTGTTTTATAAGAAACCTAATCATGTAAAGTACCAAAACCAATCTTTTTTTTTTAATCAAATTTTTGAAGTCCAGAGAGGAAAAGTGAAAAGTGCACATGTAATACCATCGAGTTATGTTTTTTTTTTATACGAAACATTTTTTAAAGAGTTTTAGAGAGTACAAGTTTTTCCTTTTACTTTCCTCCTATTTTTCCCTCTCTCTTTTTCTTTCCTTCACAATAAAAACGTGAATTAGTGAATAAACTGTTAACAAATTAATGTTATATTATTTATGAAAGCTACAAGTTGGTGATAAAACACTAAAAATCATTTATGAAATTGATGTTAAATACAATATGCACAAAACACATTCTTTGCATGCAAGAGAGTGTGTACACATGTGCACTTTCATTTTGATTGTCAATGTGAAATAGTAATTATTAATTTTAACATTCATAGGAATATATTTATTCTGAGAAAAAAAAATCAATACCCACACATGTTAAATGCACACAGAAATGGCGTTAAACTAGAAAAATGAGTAAAAACTAAAATAATAATAAACATAAGTGTTAGACTAATAATAAGTTTAGTAACCGGAAAAGATAAAACACGCATGAGAGAGGGAGGAGGAGAGAGAGATATATCAGGAATACGAAACAAGTTAGAGATCGTAAATGATACAAGATAATTTGTGAGCTATTTGAGATTGACTCGTTAAAGACTCGGTCAATGCCCGGTCAACACTCGACTCGACATATTAAGGAGTCGAGCTACATGATACTCGACTCGAAAAACTCGTGAGATACTCGACTTGAACAAAATTATGCATTTTTTAACTATAAAAACTAATGCATTATTTTTTTTAATTAAAATCACAATGTAAAAAAAAACAAAAATCTATAAAAGTGTTCGTGAAATTGTCATACATTGGAAGATAGACGGTAAAGGAAGAGAGAAAAAATGTTACAAAAAGAGAGATAAGTGAATGAAATTTCTAATTTTGTCTTTTTAATGATGAAGTTTGAAATGAATCCTTTTGTTTTTTTATAAAAACTAAGAGAATACATTTAAGTTTTAAAATTTATAAGAGAAGATCCTAAAATTTCATAAATTTCAATGAGTGAGTTTTGTTCGAGCTTAATTCGAGTTCGAGTTCAAGCTTGATTTGAGTTGCAATTTGAGCTTAGTTTGAGCTTCAAATGAGTTCGAGCTCGAGTTCAAAAAATTGCAATCGAGTTCGAGTGGTGTTTGTTTATAACTACTCGTGAGTTTTCGAGTCGAGTTCGAGCTTTAGAAATGACTATTGAGTTCAAGTCAAGTATATTGATACTCAAGCTCAACTTGCATCATTTACACATCTAAAACAAATGAAGAATTCAAAAACAATCCATTGCATCAAAAATCCTTAAACCACTGCCAACATGTAATAACTCGTCTCATATGGAAAAAAATAGATTTCTAAACTTCTTACAAGTTCAAAGTGTGGGCTACCAAAAAACTTTTATCATAGTTTTAAATTGATTTGCAAGTTATTAGGTCAATCTGCTGCTTTGTCTTCAGAGAATTTACAAACCGCAACAACACCCTACCATAACTGTAATTGCCAAAAGGTGAACTAACCCAAACCATGCAAAAACCAAAAAGATCAGACTCTTGAACCAAATCTAACTAACTAAACAACCAATCTAACCATTAATTCATACCTATTTTATTATTGATTTAAAATTGTAAAAATGGATATTGTAGATGCACTTCATCCATACAATAAACATAGTTCATCAAGTATTGCGTGTGCATCTTATAACACAAAGTATTGATATAAATAACCATAAGGATGGTGTCTGATTGGTTTGAGTTTGGTTCTAAAGGTCAAAAGTATCAGGAGGTCCCAGGTTCAAATCCAAGGAGGAATAAAATCCCCTTGTGGCCATGGAGGTTCAAATGTGGTGACTCCGCGCTATCTGCAAAGCAGGTGGACACCCTGAGATTAGTCGGCTCGTATAGCAGGTTGGATATCCAGGTTAATTAAAAAAAAGTATTGATATAAATTATAAAGGGGTTTGTTTGTTGGTAACTTTTACATGATTAGATTCTTATAACTTTGAAACATAAATATGTGTTTTATAAATTGTAGTGTAGGAGAAAGAAACAACCAAATGTTGTATAGAAAGCCCTCACCATCAATGCCCATCACATAACATTTCTTTCAAGCCAAAATAAAATATTCAAATTAAAATAATAAATCTTTATTGTACCAAATTCTTTTTCTATTTAATTAACTAAAAGCAACATAAAAAGTAAATTTTGAAAATGGGGTCTAAATTATTAAATTATAAAAGACAAATCATCAAAGCATGTTGGTATTAGAAATGTATTTATTAATTAACCTGGATATCCAACTTGCTACGTGATCAATTTCAGGACAATTATCTTAGTGGCCATAAGGGAATTTCTTATTTTTCATTGGATTCGAACTTTGGACCTCTAGGCACTTTTTGACCTTTGGATTCCAAGCTTAAATCAATCGAGCACCACCCTTGTAGTTAGGTATTAGAAATGTTGTTCTTCATATATAAAATGTTATTTGCATTGTATGACAATAAACTTGGTTGATATAGATTTAGCTGACTGATATGCTATAACTATCAAAAGATGCAAGTAAAAGTGCATTGAGCGATGCACCTTCACATAAAAATCGATTTCTTGATCTACAAATTTGGATATGAACCATGTGCAACCCCTAGCTTATGGCATGTAGTTTGTTAGGGCATTTTTGAAAGTTTTTAATATCATTGTATTTTTGTAATATAAATATAATATATAAGTATTATATATATATATATATATATATATATATAGAGAGAGAGAGAGAGAGAGAGAGAGAGAAGGCGGTTTAAGGGAAAATCTTAAAAAAAATAAAAAACTGAGGAACACCATGTGTAACCGTTCATCTAGACGGTATGCACATATGCCTGCTGGTAATTGAAGTTGCTTATTAGTTTTTATGCATGTATGCATAATCATACTGGAGAAATTGCTTAAAATTATCAGTATGCACATGTGCATACCGTCTAGATGAACGCTTACCAGAGTGTTCCATTGTTTTTCATTTTTCTGCAATTTCCCCTAAAACTGATCATATATATATATATATAGTTAGGTTCAGGAGAAAATCGTGAAATAAATGAAAAACTGAGGAATACTCTAATAACCATTAATTTGTACCATATGTACATGTGCATACTAATAATTTGTATGGTATGCATATGTACATGGAAACCATAAAATATCTTCAATTCCTTGTATGTATATGTGCATAACATACAAATGAATGATTATTATGCCTTCACTTAGGTTTTCATTTTTTGAAGGGTTTTCCCTTGAACCCCTCTCTCTCTCTCTCTCTCTCTATATATATATATATATATATATGTGTGTGTGTGTGTGTGTGTATGTGTGTGTGTGAGAGAGAGAGAGAGATTGGAAGAGAACCTTGAAGAAAGATTAACAAACCTGGATAAGGATCTTCTTTTGAGATGTAATCTTGTGGATTTAGACTGAGTTTAGAAGTTCACTACAACATTTTGTGATTACCATTTATGAGATATGACGAAACTAATTAAGGGCTAACTCGTAGTAATTTGAATATATCTATAATATATGCCTTATTAACAATGAAATTAAAGTTATGACGGCTATCAATCTTGTCCTCAACAACCATCCAAGTTGAATTTGTTTGACAATCCGAATCAAAAAAGATTTCCTTATATCCTCCACCTCATCTTCGTCTTGCTGATGTTGATGCCGACTCAAATGTTGTGGCCATGCAAGAGCAGGACTGGCCAATCTAGTAGGTTACAGTCTCCAAACTCATATTTAATTGTACGCACAATAATCCAAATATAAATCGGTCGTTAAATCATACGATTATAAGTTTTTGCTTTTTCGGTGTTAATTTGGTCCACTTCATGTCTCAAACAATATGACTTGCTACATTGATACAAATGGAGGTATATGAAAGAGGGTAGTGATTAGTGTTGTATACCATATGCACGAGTCAATGTTGTGAGTAGGTGCCCATTATTCTAAAGATATCGAGCCGTAGATTAATTATTAATTTAGAATTATTCAAAAATATGGTAAACATTCTCTCCTTCTTAAAATAAATGTCCATAATAAAAATGATATACAGTTTCTTATAAAAAAAATATAACAACAATGAAATCAGGCCATCATTTATGATCAGTAGCATCATGGGAAATTGGGAAGTGTTCATAATGGCCTAAATTGTGCTTGCAAACGGCTGTATAATTTGGGATGTTTGGAAAGTGATTCAACAAAACCAGATATGTTGATTTAGTGTTCATCATATTCTTTGGAATAAACATACCCCTTTTGTTAATGAGAAATTGGCCAAAAAGTGATTTGTTTTTGCATAAATTGGTCTGCTAATCATTCCTTTCAGTGATTTATCCAAATATCACTACGTCAGCAAGTCTCACGCCCGTCACTTAAGAAACCAGCTAAAAGACAATTTTTTAATATGAGTAGAGGATGTGATAGAAATGAAAAACGATATGTATTGAATCGTTGCCTAATAGAGTTTATCTAAATCTGCCGAAATCGATAGAAGGATATGGATGAAGCAATCAATAATAGAAGGATATGGGTGAAACTGATAAATCTAAGCATCTATCGGAGGTCGATAGATCAAGGATAAGAAGATAGGTTTAATAGGTTGTACCAAAACATTGAGAATTTGTAAACTTGAAAATTAAGTAATTTAGCATTATATATTAGTACATAATGTTTTGAAAGTTGTTTTTAAAAATATTGGATCAAATGCTTTATAATATAGTACATATAAATTATAAATTAATAATAATATACTGTTAATTATTAATATGAATAGGATATTAAATAGACAATAAAAAACTATGAGGATAATAGATAAATAAAAAAGGTGTAATGGCTAAAAGAATATATAAAAAGAATTAAAATATAAATGGAAAATAAAATGTATTATTTTTAATGTTTTTTGTTTTTTTAATATGAGAGTAAAAAAGGAGAGATTCCCTTAAAACAGGAGGGTATTTACTAATTTGCTCATTGATGAAATTGAATAGTTTCCTGGATAGGAGTAATTGTTTTAACCCATATTGACCCACAATCTATCTGTACCCAAGTCCAAAAGTGGATGCCGGTTGACCACCGACAAGCTCGGTCGTCTGTACATTGTGTGTGGCCAGGTCACTAATTCCCCTCGCCCCCACGCGTGCTTTTACGCTAAACGACATCGTCTCCTGCTTTGCTTCATCCTCCCACCTCTCTTTTCTCTCTCACACAACTCTCGAAATAATGGAGGGATTCTTCTACTCCCCCTTGTGGTTAACATCTATCACTTCTCTTTTACCCCCCTCTATTTTAAAATATATCACAATTCACCCCCTATGCTTTCTACTTAACTATTCAATACTAAAAGGGTGTTTACTTGCAACTTAACAGGACTTAGTGGTCTATCTGGCTTATTCACACAACTCTTCTAACATGTTTACTTACGGCTTATTCGCACGGCAACCGACTTAATCACACATTTGGTTTTGTTGTTTTGCCCCCATTCAGCCAAAAACAGACATCCCTACCCTTATTTTTTTAACATGCTAGAAAAAGAATTCGGTTCAAAGCACGCCTCCTTCCAGATTTAGAACCCTAGATTCAAAGCACGCTTCCTTCGATTTCATTTTTATTTGTGAAGTTGCAAATTTCCAAGGTGGGAGTTTGAGGGATAAGATGTATGCATAAACCGTTGTTTCCCTAAACCCTGTGACTAGTGCAAAGTCTAATCTCGGTTACTCATCTCACGTCCTCCTTGGCCTACTCTTCCTCCTCGCCCCTTGACCGTGACACTACCTTCCTTACTAGATCTGCGATTTGCCTCCTATGAACGTGACCAAACCACCACAATTTTTATCCCTCAACTTATTTGTGACAAACGCAACTCCCAACACTTCTCAAAAGGCCCCATTCAGTATTTTGTAAAACATGGTTCTATTATGCTACCACAAGTACATCTAAGCATTCTTATTTCTGCAACTTAATGAGCCTTCTTTATTGCTCAACACTTTGACCTATTGAAGATAGTTGGTCTGATGACTACTCCGTAAAATTTATGTTTAAGATTTACCAAGACCTTATTTGTCACACAACACCCTCTATCATAGCTCTTCACTGAGATTCAAAACCAAACCGCCTTAGCTTTTTTTCTAACTTTTGTTCTCTTACAATTGGATTTAGTTTGAGATGGGTGTTGGTTTTGGATATTCTGAATTCACACCATCGACCAAAATTGTGGTTCAAGAATTAGACAATGAAAAGAAGAAGGGGGTAAAGTGTATATACAAAAATTCCAGCAAGAAAGTGGGGCCTGCAACAGACTAGCACCTTTGACCACACCACAATGCCATTCAACAACTCAGGTTAAGGCTTAAGTTAATGGATACACACGTGTATAGATTGAAAGGATATCTCCACAACCCCCCTCCCTCTTTTTCCCCTCTGTTGCCTTTGTCTCTCTGTTCCATTCCTATATATGTCAAAACCCCCAAACATACAACAATTCCATAAGAGAATTTGCAGACTCCTCTGCAAATATAAACATATATACATATAATATAAGAGAGAGAGAGAGAGAGAGAGAGAGAGAGAGTTTTAAAGTAATTGAAGGACAGATAACATGCCTAGGAGCTTACAGCCACTGGATGTGGGAATTCAGATCCCCTATCATTTCAGATGTCCGGTTTCTCTTGAGCTCATGAGGGATCCGGTCACCGTCGAAACCGGTCAGACATACGACCGTTCAAGCATAGAGTCATGGGTAGCTACCGGAAACACCACTTGCCCTGTCACTCGCCTCCCTCTCACCGATTTCACGCTCATTCCTAACCACACCCTCCGCCGTCTAATCCAGGAGTGGTGTGTCGCAAATCGGTCCTATGGTGTGGAAAGGATTCCTACACCCAAGCAACCGGCTGATCCAATCATGGTTCAGTCATTGCTTAAACAGACGTCGTCTGTGTCTAATACAAGGCGTGCTAGGCTCGCTGCCCTTCGTCGCCTTCGTGGCCTTGCGCGTGACTCGGAGAACAATCGATTGGTTATCTCAACGCACAAAGCGTGTGAGATTTTACTAGAAGTGTTGTTTTCCGAAACGAATCGCAACTCATCCGAGTTGATACACGAGTCGCTTGCGGTTCTATCGATGCTCGCGCTTTCCGAGACGGAATGCCTTGTGGTGTCTACGGATCCGGACCGAGTTGCGTATCTGATTTCTCTTTTGTCGCATTCCTCGATTGACGTCCGAGTCAACACCGCCGCGTTGCTTGAGAACGTTGTCGCCGGGACTAGATCGCAAGAACTCCGCGCAGAAATCAGCAGTCACGATGAGATATTCGACGGAATAATCGGTATTCTCGACTATCCTTTCTCGTATCCACGGGCCTTGAAAGTCGGAGTCAAGGCGTTGTTTGCTTTTTGCATGGTAAAAGAACACCGCCACAAGGCGGTGGAGGCAGGAGCAGTGGAGGCGCTCATTGACAGGCTTCCCGATTTTGAGAAATGCGACGCTGAGAGAGCACTCGCGACGGTAGAGCTATTATGCCGAATACCGTCAGGTTGCTTAGCGTTCTCGTCTCACGCTCTCACAGTCCCGCTACTGGTAAAAGTCATCCTGAAGATCTCGGACCGAGCGACGGAGTACGCCGCCGGAGCACTACTCTCGCTATGTTCCGCCTCCGAACGGTTGCAAGGGGAGGCGGTGGCAGCCGGAGTTTTGACGCAACTGTTGTTGCTTGTACAAAGCGACTGTACAGAGCGAGCCAAGCGAAAAGCGCAAATGCTTTTGAAACTTCTACGGGATTCGTGGCCGGAAAACTCGATCATGAATTCGGATGATTTCGCCTGCAGCGACGTCGTTCTGTTTTAAACTTTTTTTCCCCTAGAATTTTAGTTTATTTTATTTTGACCATTTTGGTCCACTCTTTTTCCTTCCTTTTTACTTTTTAAAGAAAATGAAAAAGAAAAAGAAAAGTAAAAAAAATGTGAAAATATGAAGGTTCTAGAAGGTGGGTCGGGTACATAAAAAGCAAGTGGATTTCGGATGTATGTAACTTGTAACAATTTTTGGTATTGCCAACTCATTTTTACTTCTTATGTAAATCCAAATTATTAAAAGTTTAATATGAATTATCGTTGTAATCATCGACTGTTATCGAAATCTGTATAACTACATATTATGACAAAACGTATGTATCAAACTACATCCTCTGAGGGCCTCGACCCCCTCCCCCCTACAAATAGGCTTGGAATTATGGAATGTTTGATAACTGGTTATTGAAGTTACATTTAATTGAGTACTCGTTCCTTAGGGGTGTGTTTGATGTCAGGACATGACAGGACATGATAGAACAACTGTTCAACGTTTGATATAGAACTGGACAGAACAAGTAAAATGACCAATTTACTCATGATAGGTTGTTTATTTTAATTAATTTATGTAATTTATTAATTATAATAGAATAACTATTTTTTATAACAAAATATATCATTTGAAATTTTCATCAAAAAAATTAAAATGACACCAAATAAAAAGGTTATGTAGTTTTCTATTTTTCTATTTATCTCTTTTCTACATTATTTTTTATTACTAATATATAATAAATTACATAAATTAATAAAAATATAGAAACCGTATAAAAATAATATTTTGAGGACAGTAAAATGAAAATTTAATAAACATAAAATATAATAAATAAAATTTAAAGAATGAATAAAATGTAAAAAAAGAGATATGTTTGATGTTTTAGAAGAGAATTATGTTTTATTTTGAGGTTATATTGGTAAAATACAAGTCTGTTCTACCTTGTTCCATAGGGTAGGGGTGGAACATGCATGTTCCACTTTGTTCCTGTCTGTTCCACATAAAATTCATGCCAAATATGAGATAGGGATTTCTGTCCTGTTATGTCTTATCCCTGTCCAGTGTCCCAAATGTACCCTAGATGAATGTATCTTGAATTTTCTCTCTTACCCCTTGGTAGGTGAGTAGTAATCTTACATTACATTGATCCATTTCGCTCATCTGGACTTTTCTTATTCACGAGCACTGTTAATGAATTATAGATCATTGGTTGTATCTCTTCTATTTGGATCATTCTAGAAATGATCAAATAGATTTCCCTTGAGATGAGGTGAGGTGAGGATCGGTTATTCTGTATATCGAAGGCTTTATTTATTCTTCAAACGAACGTCTATACTCTTAATCCATCAAGCTCAGAAAGGATTGGGGTTAGCCTAACCCCGAGCTTGTGTCCAACGTGATTTAAGGTCTTGACTTTGATTATTACAATGTTATATAAATTAGTTTTGAATGTTACATCCATTAGTTAGAAGAACTAAAATTTATTGTGTGCATGCCCATGTTCATGTATAACAATCCATTGCATGACCATATAACTAACTGAGTGAAGTCTTCATATTATAGTCTTCATATTAACCACAAGGGTGGTGCATGATTGGTTTGAGCTTGATTCCAAATGTCAACAGTATTAGGAGGTCTCAGGTTCAAATCCAAGGAGGAATAAAAATCCCCTTGTGGCCACAGAGGTTTAAATGCGGTGACTCCGGACTATCTGCAAAGCATGTGGTCATCCTGGGATTAGTCGGCTCGCATAGCGAGTTGAATATCCAGGTTAATAAAAAATGATTATTTATCAGATCTTACAAAAGTTGATAATAATTTAAGCCTTCTTAATTCAAACCAAGGGGGTGTATTCAAATTCATGTCCACTATAAACAAGGGTATATTTCGAATGCAACCATGTCCATTTGTACAACCAATGCAATCCAATTAATTAAGATATTTATGGAAATGATGAGAGTTCATTTATTATGATTTGAATATTTATGAATGATGACTAGAGTTCATTAATTATGATCGATACTTTATATTATAAAACAATCAAAACTTTTATGAAGTCACACATTCATCAAGTTAAATGGACGGTTGAGATTGAGTTGTATTGGTTGTACAAATGTAAAGGGTTATATAATAACTCACCTGCTATAAACAAATGCAAACATGACTGTTACTAGTCCATATATATCATCTAAAAGGAGAAAATTGTAACAAAATAAAACCAATTTCCTTTAATGTGTTGAATCAACTATCACGACTTTCTATTTAAAGGATTTGGTTCAAAGCCATTCTTCTCGGTATATGAAAGAATACAAAGTTGATCCATGCCATTCAGAGTAATCGGTGCGTATAAGAACCTAAAATTGATTAATAACTTGATAATCACCTAGATCACACATATGACATTTTCATTAGGAATATGAACATGTTATTCATTATGAATGTGCCAATCATGAATAACACCTCCATATTCATCATGAAAGTGTGATTCATGATAAATAACACTTTCATATTCATTATAAATGTATTATTCATAATAAATATTCATCCTGAAAAGGAATATGTGACGCACTGTGAATGGTTCCGGGTTCCTAATGGAACTTTCTTACCTCTCTCACTCTCTCTCTCTCTCTCTCTCTCTCTCTTTATATATATATATATATATATATATATATATATATATATAGGGTTGGGTTCACGTGAGACCAAAGATTTTTCGTGAGACCCGTAATACCAATTTATGTTCATTGATCAACTTTATAAGCTAATGACCTAATGGTCTAAAGTTGCACGGTGACAATTTTTTGATTATTGAGAAGTGTCGTGGCGTTTATGAATGTTCAGATTTTCAGATTGTAGATCCAATCCAAGGGTTGATAATTGATATTACGGGTCTCACGAAAAACCCTTAGTCTCACATGATCCCAAGTCTACGTGTAGACTTGGGATCATGTGAGACCAAGGGTTTTTCGTGAGACCCGTAATATCAATTCTCAATCCTTGAATTAGATCTACAATCTGAACATTCATAATCACAAAATTGTCACGAGACTTCTAAATAATCACAAAATTGACACCGTGCAACTTTAGACTATTAGATCATTAGCTTATAAAGTTGATCAATGAACATAAATTGGTCTTACATGTCTCATGAAAAACCCTTGATCTCATATGAACTCAACCCTATATATGTATGTATTATGTATGTGTGTGTGTATATATATATAGTTGGACTCTGGTGAGAAGAGAGTTTATTGTGAGAAGCGTAAGAAGAAATATCCACTTTTGGATCAATCACAATTGAATATCAATACTAGTGAGGTGCATAGAAATGCATCAGATCAATTCCTTTCTAAAACGCAATTCATATGCAAGCATAGGATTAAAAATGATCAGGAGTTCAGATCTCTTCTTATACTTCTCACACCGATTCTTATATATATATAATTTTGATTCTATTAAGTCGAGAAGTTTCAAAAAGTGGTGGGTGAAAATAGAAGTTAAAAAAGGTAAATGATGATGAGTAGGTGTAAAGTGAAAGTTGGTGTATTTGAGTGAGGAAAAGAAGAGTGTGGATGATGTTGAATGACATGAGAACTTAACCACCATTGACCAAAAAGACCTTCCAAAATTGATGATAGTGGGGAGTGATGAAGAAGCCAAACCAAACATCCCCATCACAAACCAAATATACAAACTTATAATTATAGTTATCATAATATTGTGTCTGTGGCCACAAGCAATTTCCCATTACACCCTTTCTCTCCTCCTGTCCCCACTAACTCAATCCATGACCATCACATGGGCTTTTTTGTCCTTTTACATTATCACATCACAAAAATATGAAATATCAGTCAAATGAAAGGTTGGAATTAATCCGATTCAAAAGTTTGATTGATAGTTTTGTTGGTTGAAGGTCGTACCATACATTTCTAACGACTCCTTTCACATGGGTTTTTGTATTTTCAGACGTTTATACTGTATAAATATGAAATATCAGTCAAACAAATATACGTAGTCCAATGATTATTCTCGTTAATGTTTTTGTTGGTTAAAAGCACATTCATGATGCCATATGTGTGTAAAATACGAGGCTAATTGATAGTTTTACTGGTTAAACGTATTCTGCATTTATGTTTTGTTGCAATAGATCTCTAACGAGTAATCTCACATTGGTTTTTCCGCCTTTTCAAACTTTTATGCCATGTGAATATAAAATATCAGTAAAATCGGATGAAATTAGTCTAATCGTAAGCTTGATTGATGGTTTTGTTAGTTAAACCGACATTCAATTAATATCTTGTTGGCACAAATTTCTAGCAAGTCATTTTCATAGGGGTACTTATGTCTTTTTAGACTTCTATCTCATGTAAATATGTAACATCAACCAAATGTGGTCGAAATCAAATATGATATAAGCTTTGTTGGCTAAAATACGGTCAAGATTAAACAATAAAAATCAACTCAGACCTTGGTGACGCTCACCAAGACTCACAAGATTTTGGACTTTGATGTGTATCAACTTTTTATTTCATATAAATATGAAATATATCGGTGAAATGGACCAAAATCACTTAACCACTCAAATATTGTGTCTCGATTGGCAATTTTATCGGATGTGAATGCATTTTTCATCAATACCTTATCGTCACGTATTTCTCTTCGGTTCTCTTTCAATGGTCCCCTCCTCCTTCGTAGTGAAATATAATTCTAATAAACAAGAAGCTTGTAATGGTCCACGCAAACTATAAAATCATCAAACGAAAAATATCCTCTTCCAAAGACACAAATTTTCAATTCTTTATATTTATATATATATATATATATATATAGGGTATATTTCAAATGCAATCATGTCCATTTGTACAACCAATGTAATCCAATTAATTGAGATATTTATGAAAATAATGAGAGTTCATTTATTATGATTTGAATATTTATGAAAGATGAATAGGTTCATTAATACTTTATATTAGGAAACAATCAAAACTTTTATGAAATCACATATTCATCAAATTAAATGGACGGTTGAAATTGAGTTGTATTGGTTGTACA